AGTTATTTTGCCATTGTAAAAAATTATCCAAGTTGGAGTTCAAATGAGAAAAAAATTTGTAGAATCAAATGAGCTAGGGTATAAATTAAACATATTATGAGCAAAAATTACTGTTAGGTATGACTCATAATAACAGAATGTGGAGTCTCTTAAAATTGAAGAGGTGTGTCTCTTGGAATTTAGTGGGTTGGGGGAGCGAGTACGCAGCAAAAGCGTGGTGGCCTAACCCACAGGAGATATTTGCTCTCCCTTTGTCTCTCCGAATAAAATTTTTTGTAGAGATCCGAATAGAATTTTAGAGACTTCTCAAAAGAAGACTAATGGTCTGTTTGGGACAACTACAGATGTTTGAAGAAGCGGCCATGAAGCTGCTGCAGAAGAAATTACTTTTCAAAAAACTACGTTATCTATTACAAATTTATTTTATTTTTAGGAGGCAGACCGCACATTTTTGGTAAACACCACATTCTAACAACTTAGGTTAAGAAAATAATTTTTTATTACAATTTTTTTAAAAAAAAATAAAGAAAACTATTCCCCAAGCAGAATTGTTGTGGTGGTCTGAAATACAAAACCGGCAGAAAGTTGTTCCCAAGAGACCCTAAGACACATCTCACCACGAGTTATTTTGCCATTGTAAAAAATTATCTAAATTATTCCTTTGCTACAGAGAAGAAGTTTGGAAGAGATATTTTCCAGATTTCTCTAGAGTCAATAAAGGAAATTTCTTTCTATTAACCAAGAAATCTTGTTGTATGCAGAGATTTTTCAGGATGCTGAGAAAGCAAGGAAAGGGAATTTGTTGCTGCACTCGGGAGAGGAAAGATTTCTTTCTGGAAGGAAAGCGTAGTGGCCCAACCCACATTGGTGCATAAGAAACTTCATGATATATTTCTCCTAAAGAGCTGAATATTCGCTAATGTGGAGATTTGTTAGGTATGACTCATATACCATAAATGAGACATGTGCTGGAGTGGAGCGGAGCCCACGAGCGAAAGAATCTGTTCAATCGGGATAGTTTCATTATGTGGGTTGAGGGTGCGGGGGCAATACTCTGCGATTTAGTATAGGAGTAATTTAAGTAATTACATATTGTACTATAGGGTTATATATATATATATCATGTTGGTAACCCTAGGTGAGCTGAATATTGTATTATACATTCTTTTATGAATATTGAAAAAGAAGTCGCCGCTCTGGTCTCGATGATGTATGCATCTTTGCCGAACCTCGTTAAATCTTTGTGTGTTCTTCTGGATTTGTGTCGATTCTTTTTTTTTCTTCGCCCTAATTTCTCAACAACTACTTAGATGCAGTGCAATCAAACCAAAATTATAAAGATAATTACTACATAAAAGCGTGATACGTCAATTAGTGAGAGAAATTATGAATGGGGACGCAACGTGAGTGCCCCAAATGAGTTTGTTCGTTTAGCTTTTCTGAAGTCTTTTTGGGGTTAATGGCGTGGGCTCGGGAAAGGAATGATGGAGGAGGATGGCGTGCTGGTTTGCATTGGGATCCAACAGTTGCAATTGGCATCATAATTTGCGTGCTTTTTCTCTGCCTTAATTTTCTTGGTTTATTTAATACAAGCACAAATCGACTAAGGAAGCTAAAGATGAAAAGATTTGTTTGCGAGACATAAGTTTAAACCTAAAAGTTGAATATTATTGTAAGGTACATGTGTCTCAAATTTTATGTCTCGTTCATCATCTCATAAGAAAATTACGACCATGAAGGTTGAAGTTTTTAGGAAGAAAATGTGAGCATACAAATTTCGGTTTTAGAAGGAAATTATGAGCACACAGATTAAAACTTTTGATTTTAGATCAAGCTTATAATAGCCTTTAGATTGCAATCTGTGTGCTATTGCTTTATTTGCTTTGTTTTAATTATTTTCCTTAAAGGGGTCTTGCTAAAACTATGTATACCCTCATTCTATTTTGTGTAAAATGATACTCTTCACCTGTAATCTCCTATTTGATAAAGTGAATTCTCCTCATCTACCCTTGTTTTTTCTCTTCCTGAGTTTTCCATATAAAATTTGTGCTCTTTCATTTGATTATTTTATTATTCGTTGGATCGATTCAATACATGTTATAATAAGTGGTATTAGAGACATGTTTTGTTTTTGATGACGATAACATTAAAGCACGACAACCCTCTGTTAGATCGCAACACTAGATTTTCTCTTTTGCTAGATTAAGATGTGAGCTATCTTAGTGCACTGGATCTAGACGATGAACTACTTGGGTTCAAAAAGATGTTCTCATTATGGACACTAAATGAGAGACAATGTAAAGATTTAAAGATTCTTTATTAAATTCATCTTCATCTATCAAATCAAATTCTATAAGATGTTTTGAAGAAGGAGAAGCAGTTGTTGTGTTGTAGCTCAAATTAGAGCAATTGTCCTTGACGAAATGTCTGACCCGTAAGTTGCACTTAAAACAGCTTTTACACTCTCATAAAATAATAAAAGACACATTTGTTATAGATCACTTAATTATCTTTAAGAAAATCATATCTGAAAGTTAAGTATGATGAAGAATATTTGACATTGATCTTGTTATACTCACTGCCTTCATCTTAAACAACGTTTAGAGATGTAATCTTGTATGAGTGAGAGACACTTACTCTAGACAAACTATATATTGTTTATTTTCTAAGGAGAAGATGAAACAACTTATAGATGAACCAGTTTCTTAAGGAGAAGACCTTGTTGTTTGAGGTCAAACTCAAAGAGGAGTTACACACGAGTAGATCAAAATCAAGATATAAGAATTAGATATGAAACTACTACAAGAACAAGGGGCACGTCAAATTTGAATGTTATAAGTTTTAAAAAAAAAAAAAAAAAAAAAAAAAAAACCTCAAATTAGAAAGGCAAACAATATGATCATTCTGATAAAACCAAAGTTGTTGAAAAAGCCATTAATAATGGTGAACTTTTAGTTATCTCTGATGGAGAACCTTGTGATGTTTGGGTTTCTGATTCAGAATGTCACTATAGGGGATGTGGTAATTAGCGCCAGATTTTGTGTTGAACATTTATTGACACAAATTTTAGCATCATACTATCCCCTTATTAGAATCGGATTTTTCTGATGCTAATTGACATAAATCCTGTAGTATGCATGTTTCATATGTTTCCCAATGGAGATTGATTTTCAACATATGAAACTATGTCAAAGGGTACCATGCTAATGAGTAATAATACTCATTATAAGATAGTTAGTGCTAGAATTATAGAATCACGATGTTTGTGGAGTCTTTAGAATACTTGTAGATATGAGAAATGTCTCAGATTTGAAAAAGAATATAATTTATTTAAGTACTCTTGATGTTGAAGGATACAAGTGCTTTGATAAAGTTGAAGTATTGAAGGTCGACAAAGGCTCTCTTATTATGATGAAGGGACAAATGAAGTCTGTTGAACTACATGTCTTGCAAGGCTCATCTACGGTAGGTAATGCAACAATTACTACTTATTCCAAAGTCCTTTGTTGGGAGTGTTTCTAGCTTTGTAGTTGAACCTCTTTTTCTCATTTTTTTTCAGCTGCAATCTTGCTACTTTGGTGAGTATAAGTCATACCTCTTGGAGCTTCATATGATAGCCATATGATAGAGTTTTATTCCTTTGACCTTAGGGCTAACGAGGTTCTCACATACGACGTAAGTCATGAATTGCTAATCGGGGATCTCTAGATGTGTTGGGTCGACTACCTTCACGACCAAGTAGACTTAGGGTCCTAGTAGTTTGGGATGACGGGTCCGTGGTACCCTAACATGTCTACCTCTATCTTCTATGGATTACTCCTCTCTTTATTTGACTACTCTTGTTGAGCCCTATCGCTTTGTTTACATTCATTAGTATCATCTCAACGACTAGATTACAGATGAGCCACCGTCCATTTGGGATATGACAATTTTTCCTCTAACCTTACGACCCGGTGTGCTTTGACGTATAGGAATACCCCCATTAAGATGACTTGGTTATTTTGTTGGCTCCGTATGCTGATGACTCCGCCACCCATGTGGAACCGTGAGAGACTCACTCTCCGTCCAGTGGCTTAGCGATAGCTTTGAAAGCATCAAAGCATTTCCATGCAAAATAATCATCTTTTGATAGCCATGTGTCAGTTGTCACTACTAACGTAAGCAAAACTCTTTTGGATCAAGAGTATTTCTAGGCAACCCCCAAAGTATAATTAACTAAGTGAGATACTTCCCATTGGGAGTACTCTAAACCCTAAAATATGTAAAA